TAGCCCAGCCTGAGGGTATGTTTACACAGCATTTGGGAGCAAGTCTCCCAGGCCAGATCAACAGACAGGCTAGCAGGGCTCCCACTCGTGCTCTAGAAATACGGTAGCTGTACAGACACAGCTTTGAAGCTGCGGTTCAAGCTCCAAAGCGTAGGAAGTGGGGGTGGGCTGATCTGCTGCAAAATATCCAAGGCCCTGTGAGCCGTCTGAGGCCCAGAGGGCTGAGAATACAGGCTGGCAGCATATTTGGATGATTTTACTTGGTAAAGAGCCAGATTAAGGCAATCCGGAGCCACAGGCCCACCACAACACAGGCCTCCTGGGTCCACTCCTGAGCTGTGGCCCCGCTCCTCATTTGGAGTCGCAGTGGCAGGGAGGCCCATTTCCTCTCCTACAGAGGAACAGGCGGTGGCATGGGCCCCCTGTCTCTCTCCAGGAGCAGCAGGGTCCTCCCCCTTTCCTGGGGACGCAGGGGTGTGCTTGGGTGGGGGGAGTAGGCCCACTGTACTCTTCTCCTGCTGCCACACACAGAGTCTTCTTCTGGGCAGTGCCCCCCATATAGCCCTGTTGCCACGGGGAGGTGCTAGGGGTGTGCCTACCCTCTCACACCCTCCCCAGGTGAGTTCCCAGCCCTGAGAAGGGTTTGGAGAGCAAATCCCAGCTCTCCTGACCTCCTGCCAGCAGCGCCTGGCAGGCTGCCTCCCCCTGCCCTCCCGGTGATGGCTGCCTCCTCCCCAGTGTGAGCACAGAATCCAAGAGGCAGAGAGCCAGGCTGGCTGCTCCAAAGCAGGAGCCCACCAAGGATAGAGCCTCAAGGCAACAGGGTGCAGAGGAGCTGGGACATGTGGCTGAGCGGAACTGGGACGTGGGGTTGAGGGGAGCTAGGGCGGGGGTTCAGAGGGGCTGAAGCTGAGGGGAGCTGGTGTGGGGGAGTTCAGAGGAACTGGGACATGGGGTTGAGGAGAGCTGGGGTGGAAGTTCAAAGGGGCTGAAGCTGAGGGGAGCTGGGCTGGGGCAGTTCAGGGGAGTTGGGGCAGGAGTTCAGGGGGCTGAAGGGGAGCTTGTCCAGGACAATTGAGGGGATCTGGGGTGAGGGTTCATGGGGCTGAGGAGGGTCTGGGGGGCATGAGGGAAGTTAGGCCAGGGCAATGAAGACGATCTGGGGTGTGGGTTCATTGAGCTGAGGTGAGGCTGGGGGGTGTGAGGGAAGTTGGCTATGGCAATGCAGGGGAGCTGGGGTGAGGGTTCATGGAGCTGAGGAGGGGCTGGGGGGCATGAGAGAAGTTGGCTAGGGCAATGCAGAGGAGCTGGGGTGAGGGTACATGGAGCTGAGGAAGGATGGGTGGGGGGATGAGGGAAGCTGGCCCAGGGCAATTCAGGGGAGCTGGGGCACAAGTGTTCAGGGGGCTGGAGCTGAGGGGAGCTGGTGTAGGGCAGTTTGGGGGACCTGGGGCACAGGGGCTCAGGGGGCTGAAGGGGAGCTGGTCCAGGACAATTGAGGGGATCTGGGGTGAGGGTTCATGGGGCTAAGGATGGGTTGAGGGGGTGAAGGAAGCTGGTCCAGGTCAATACAGGGGAGATGGGGCACAGGGTTGGGGGCAGGGGGGCAGAAAAGCATTTATATTTCTTTAAGCCATGCTAGCCCCATCCTCCCACAGCAGGTCTTTGCTTTGAACGGGTGTTATCACTTCGTGTATTGCACCAATTGAGCTCAGGTGTGTCAACAGCTTCTTGTAATTCTCAGGTATTAAGCTGTTATTACAGGAAATACTGTAAGCAGCTCTCATGATCTGTTTCGTATTAGCACCAGCGTGCTATTTACTGTTTGTTTTTATTGTACTCAAATTCTTGGAAAAGAACTTCAGCAAAATTCAGCTTTGGTGTAATTTCCTTGAAGTCCATGTCTAAGACAGGCTAGCAAAGCAGCTGGAAAGGTGATACCGGATAGCTTGGGACAGGGTGGTTAACCTGAGTGTTTCCTCTTTCCCCCATAAGCATCTGCATCTGTAAAGGCCGGAAATACTTGAGATGTGGGGAAGACATTTGTATAGCACCATAAACTTACCTTGCACTTCAAACATAGAAAGAACCATGGTCCCTTGCCATAGGAGCTTAAAGTCGAATGCTGGATTCTGCAAACACTTATGCATGAGAGTTACTGTACTCATGTGAGTAACTTTACACACATGCATAAGTGTTAGCAGGCTCTGGGCCTAAATCAGATTAGACAAACACAAAGGAAAACCCAGGATGACCGGTGAGGGGAGGAAACAAGGGCATTCCTGAGGAGATGTGATTTAAAGAACATTTGAATGCAGGAGTGGCCGATCCAGGCACAGGGGCAGTGTGACAGAAGAAACGGAACTGAAAGCAGGTAAAATAAATGAAGGGAAGAGCAATGACCAGGATGAGTAATGAGGATAGAAACAAAGGGTTCATTCGGATCCCATTCTACCCTCCCTGAAGAAAGAGGTGTCATGGAAGCCCTGAAGTCTAGTAAACCAACTGGCATTTTATTAAAGAATTAAAGAAAGCAACCAAATGTCAAATAGAAATGTTAAAATACAGTTAATTACAGAAAAAATTACATTATTAGAGCTTGCAGGGCGGACATAGCTGTCATTCTAAGCAGGGCACTGAATCAACATTTCAGACAGTTATAAAGCTATATGGGCAATTGTACCAGGTATAAGTAAATGTGACCTGATTTACAATTTACAATCAGGCAGCTGATTGAGATTCTAACAACCTTTAAGAATCAGTTAGACTTTCAGACATTACAGCACAAAGATCTTCAGGAACATCAGCAGAAAGTGGATCATTTCAAGCGATTTGGAGTGCTGGGATGTGTGTAAACCTACCTTCACCGGGAATCTTTCACTCTATAATAGATAAGTGAATGTGCAAATTGTGTGTTTGTGAAGTCTTCCCCTTTGCACTCTGGCACAAAAGCTGGACACAGCTGCAGTCCTTGTGCTCACAGGAACACAGACACTCTTTCCTTGTACTTGTGGGATGCAAGAGCAAGAAGACACTCTGAAAGGATCACGGAGGAGCTGAGTCCTAAAGGGAAGCTGTAACTCATGCCCAGCACAGCCCAGTGAGTAACTCATGAGCTACAGCTTCCCTTTAGGACTCAGCTCCTCCGCAATCCCTTCAGAACTCCCTTCAAGAGAAACTCTAACCAGTTTTAGCTTAGGAATTGGTACTATTTGTCAACAAGTTGCTATGTCTGAGAGTCACCACGCAAAGGCAATTTTAAAGCCCTTTGCTGAGCCCATGTTAAAGATGCCAGCCTGAACCAGTGCTGGATGAACCATTTAGCACTCTCATTAAAATAGCATGATTTGTGGGTTCTAAATGTATTTTTTGGGATTTGTATGCTGGCTTGATCAGGGCAGGAAATGGTTTTCCCATCCTGTGAACATTTTTGAAATTTCAAAAATGAAACGGAGACCTCTGAAAATGTTCACAAACAAGAAGAGACAGACAACCCACCCCCAAGTAGCCACTAGCTCAGTGGTTGGGACACTCAGCTGGGCTATGGGCCACCAAGATTCAAGTCCCTACTCTCAATAATTCAGGCAGATTCAGTCTCTCAGATATGTGTCCCGACCACTGGGCCATTGGCTATTGGGGGTGGGGTTGGGTTCTCTCTCTCTCTGGTTTTGACCAGAAATTCCACGCTGGACGTCAGAAGGCTTCCTGATGAAAGTTTAGTTGAAAATGCTACATTATTGTGAAAAGTGTCTTTTTTTGATGAATAGGCATTTTCTGATGACAAACCTGTTTTGTTGAAAAATTTCTAACCCGCTCTAGTAGAGTGCATTGAAAAGGGCTGTTTTTGAAAGCCTATTCTGCCACCTTTGTCATGATGGATATTAATTTATCCAATGAGTAACCTCCCATAAGTCAATAGAACTACTCCAGGAGTAAGGTTCTACTCAGCATGAGTAAGGATGACAGAATTAGCCCCTTAATTCTCTTTTTTTCCCTCCCAGGGCTCATAGACTCATAGAAGATTAGGGTTGGAAGAGATCTCAGGAGGTCATCTAGTCAAAGCCCCTGCTCAGAGCAGGAACAACCCCAACTAAATCATCCCAGCCAGGGCTTTGTCAAGCTGGGCCTTAAAAACCTCTAAGGAAGGAGATTCCACCACCTCCCTAGGTAACCCATTTCAGTGCTTCACCACCCTCCTAGTGAAATAGTGTTTCCTAATACTATATAGGGAGAGTAAAATAGTTGTGCCAACCAAATTTGTTTCTATTTCTCAAGGTCCAAGGAGAGAAATCACTCTCTGTTAACAAGATAAGAGAACATTGTTACTGGTTAGGGATGTTTTGTTTCTTTGATCCCATTATCTTCTCTAACATTCAAGGGTATTAAGTTAAAATTATTTGTCGTAGCAACATAGGAATTGCCAGACTGGATCAGATCCAATGTCCATCAAATCCAGTGTCCTGACTCTGACCGTGGCCAGCACCAGATGCTGCAGAAGAAGGTGTAAGAACCCTGCATTAGGCTGATGTGGGACAATCTACTGGCTGACCCTCATTTAAATCCCATCCTACTCTCTCATCGTTAGAGATCGCTTAAACAAGGGGTTTAATATCGCTGCCCAAAATAGTTAGCATTAACTGTTACAGCTCCGGATATTCTTCATGGCCACACAATTGTCCAACCCTTTTTTGAATCTTGCTACATTCTTGGCCTCAGCAGTACCATGTGGGGCCAAGTTCCACAGTCTAATCACACAGCGTGTGAAAAAGTATTTCCTTTTATCATTGCTGAATTTGCCACCTTTTGGGTGAAATCCTGGAAGTCAGTGGGAGTTTTGCAATTGACTTCAGCTGAACCATGATATCACCCTTTAATTTCATCAAAGGGCCCCTTAGTCCTGTGGTATGAGACAAGGAGAACAGAAGCGCTTGATCCACCGTCTCTGTATCATTCATGATTTAACATACTTTTATTATGTTCCCTCTGATTTGTTTCCTTTCTAACATAAACAATTTCAGTCTTTTCAATCTCTCTTCATAGGAGAGTTTTTCCAGGCCCTTGGTTTTTCTCATCACCTTTCTCTGAACCCCCCCCTCGTTCTGCAATATCCTTTCTGAGGACTCTCCACACAGAATTACAGAGCAGGCCACACTATTGATTTATACAATGACATTAAAATATTATCAGCATTACTCTCCACACCATTTCTTATGCATCCTAACATTTTGTGTGCTGTGTCTGACTGCAGCGGCACATTGAGCAGAGGGCTTCATTGAACTATCTAAAATGATGCCAAGGTTACTTGTTATCATACAAGAAACTCTAATTCCTCCATATGCTTTGACACTGCTGTTTTTCACTTTCTCTACCAGATGGCTCTCTTTTACCGTTGTAAGGTCAGTATGGCAGTTGTACCGAACTCTATTTCCTTTATAGCTTTTCAGCGTATCCTATTGTGCTTTATGGAATTAGAACACTGCTGTTTGTGTCAGTCAATATAAATTGATTTTGTTATTTTATGTTCTTAGTCTTAAATGTTTCATGGGTCAAATAGCATTTTTCAACCGACCACCTATTTCTAAAGTGCCCGTCACCCTGGTGGTTTCATGCCACTGCTGCAAATCACATTCCACTCTGATCCTGGTTCTCAAAGGATTTGTGGGACTGAGCAGGATTTGTGAAAGTCTGAACTGCAGGCAGTGTCCTGTGAATAAAGATGACTGAAATTTCTTGAACTAATTTGTTGTTGTTGAAAAACAGGCATTTTTCTAAGCAGAAAAACGTCTTTCTTTGGCAAAGCTGATCTCCAGTGATGTTATGCTAGGCCTGGAACCTACTTTGTGGGATTTTAATCAGTTTATTCATGTAAAATCTGTTTTCCCCTAAAAGAAAGGGTGTACGTGGTTTGTTTCATCATTTGCCATTTCTAGAAGGAGATGATGACTGATTTTAAGCAAGTGGGAAAGGGTGAAAATTCTGCTGACGTGGTCAGAGATGATCTTCAGGATTGTAGTCTTCATCACCACTATAGTCTTCATCGCCGTTGTAGTCTTCATCGCCATTATAGCCCTCTTCATCACCCTTGTCATCTCCATCTCTCTTAATAGATTCTCCATTCAAGCTAGTGAGGAAGAAGCATGAGGATGTTGTGAATATGTCCTGAGTACCCGAGATCACAGCCCCTGCTCCCACGGCCACGCACACCACTGTGGTCACATACATGTGGTCTGTGGTGCTACTGGAAGTGTGCTTTTGGCCCGAAAGTGATTTTAATCTCTGTGCTCCCCCAGGAGCAAGGTCTGCCATGCGTGTGATGGAACCATGTATATCTCCCCATTTATCTTCTCTTTTAACCCCCCCCCCCACCCTTCTGGCCAGTGTCTGTCAAGCAGAAAAGACTAGCTGGGATATTCTTTAGTGTCCATCTGTGTAATTCCTTAATCAGCGGCAGGAGTTCTTATTGACTGATACCAGCCACACTCTCACCATGAGTGCACTGTCTCCTCGGCATTCTCAGACCCTGCCTGCTGGGAGAATGGCAGACTGGGATTAAGAAAACGGAACCCCTTGAATGGAAACAGAGAACATGATCACAAGACTACTGGCCTGGCCCCATTCTCAGACACCCGCACTGGGGACGTGGGATAATTCAAAGCACAAATAAGTGGAAGGGCCTACTCTAGTGGGAGTTAGCGGCGGGATTGATCTGGAGAAAAAGGGCCAGATTCCCTGGCCTGATTCGTTCCCTCTCTGCTACTCTAATGGTGCAAAGGGGACAGAAACTGAAGCTGGGCCCATCTTCCCTGCTGGAGATTTCCCAAGCATATGGGAGTCCATAATAGATCCAGTGTAGCTGGATCCTATACCATGCCCCTGTAGAACCCAGCATAGGGGGTGTACTGGGGGCAGGGAGAGTTGGGAAGGAGGGTGAAACCAAAACCCAGAAACACCTGTTAGTCATTTCTTATGACTTCTTTCTTTCTGACTATGTCAGGGAAGCCAGGGGTCACTTACAGCAGTGGATGCAGCTTACAGCTTGCGCTTCTCACTGCATCATGCAGCCGTTTCATTCCTGAATCTCCCAGCACATCTTGATTGATATTCAGCTCTGTCAGTGACTGGTTTGTTGTTATGACAACAGAGAGATCTTCGCAACAAGCAGGGGTCAGACCACACCCGGTCAGCCTGCAAGAGACAGGGACATGCCAACACAGGCATACCATGCCTGGTGTACCCCCACATTTGAAGCCAAATTCATCCCTGAAGTAGCTCAGAGTTCTACCAGGGATCAATTGTCCAATGCATTCATAGCTTCATAGATTTTCAGGCCAGAAAGAGCCATTATGATCATCCAGAGGCAGACTTGCAAAGGTACAAATGGTCGGTAGGTGCCAAACTCCCACTGGTTTTCAATGAGGCTTAGGCACGTAATTACCATTTGTGCCTTTGAAAATTTCCCTTCTAGTCTGACCTCCTGCATAAGGCCGGCCACAGAATTTCACTCGCATCTCGGTTGTGATCCCTGCATTTAGGCCAATAACATGAGGATGAGCCAGAACATATCATTTAGGATGACATGTTATCTTGATTTAAAGGCTCCAAGAGTTGGAGAATCCAGCACATCCCTGAGCAGTCTGTTCCAGTGGTTAATTACCCGCATAGTTAAAAAGTTGTGTTCCTCAGGAGATTATTTTATGTCATAATTCAGTGAGAAACATCAGTGATTTCACAAAAACAATGAGGGGACCTCCTTGTTGTTTTTGCTGATACAGACGAACACGGCCACCCCTCTGAAACCTGTCACCACGCAAGGCAGTGATTTGACAGTGTGTGGTGCACGTACTTCCCACCGTGTGGATTTCGCTCTGCGAGCACTTGCTGACTGTTCTACTAATTTATTTCGGTGTTATCTGAAGGGGAAAAGTGTTGGCCAAATTCATTCCTGGCCTTATTCCACTGAAGTAAACTGGAGTTAAATCAGGGATTCATTTGCCCCCAGGATTCTGACTATATTAGGTAAAGCTGCTGCCAGCTGAGAGTAGGTATGAAAACCTGACACTTGTCTTTCTACCCTGCTGGGGTTCAGCAGGATGCTCCCCAATTTAAGGTTGGCAATTTTTTTGGGAACATTGCTAGTGCAATGTAGTCCATTTGAAGCTCTTGATGGTTCTGCACAAATCTATATCTTGGCAAGCTGCTGGCCCAATAGGCTCACACTGAAAGGGTCACCTCGTAATCACTGCATAAGAAAGAGATGGAACCAAAAGCACAAGACAGAGACAGGGTCAGCAGAAAAAACCCAGCAGCCGCTGGAGAGAGGGAGATGCAAGGAACAACAAGAGTGATTGTTACAATCTCACAATGCCAGTGTGACTCTAATAGGTGCATACTGGCATCCAGTTTTGCACATCAGCTGAGGTTTCATTATAGTGCCACCTGGTGGCTTTTGGCCTGTCACTCCTGTTTTTGCTGGAAAGTTGTCCATACAACCTGCCATCCCAGTGGGTAATATTTAATGATTTAGCTGGCAGGCTCCTCATGGGCACCAAGTTTTTGAACGGACCTGGATGGGTTTAGAGGCTGAACTACGTTGACCGGATGTCCCAATTTTATAGGGACAGTCCCAATATTTGGGGTCTTATCATATATTGGCACCTATTACCCTCCACTCCATCCCAATTTTTTACATTTGCTATCTGGTCACCCTCGGCTGAACATCATTCTCATCCCAGGGCAGAGGCAGTTCTGCTATCGGGGCACCTGTGGCACTTCCTTGCTCAGAAGGAGAGACAATAAAACCAGGTGTGGACTCATCCCTATTCTCTGCACCATACCCAGATGTTAATTTAACTGACTGGATCCTGCCTAAAATTCTGACCAAGGGCTGGCACGGAGCTGTACCTGTTCTGTGGTCAAACAGAGCATTTCACTCTCCAGAGCGGCCAGTTTGGCACATTTGATGACCACTAAATGCACCCCTACCCCTTAAAAAGAAAACAGAGACTGTCTACAAGCCTTCAGTGGGGCAATCTGTGACAAGCTGATCCTGGTATGGATGGGGAATGGATGGGACTGTCTGGCGACTCACATTGCTAAACGTAGAAAGATCCCACTCCTGCCAGAGATCAAGGAATAGCAGCAATTGCTGGAGATGTTTAAGCAGCCACACTGTGTTGCCAGAGAAAAACGTGCCCAGATTAGCCAGAAAGAGCAGAGCCAAGACCAGCCAATCACAAAGGAAGCCTCTGGTATCTTACCTTAGTTTCTGTAGTTTGCAGTCTGGCTGTCTCAGCCCATCACACAGAAGCTTCATTCCTGCATCTCCCAGTTTATTATAGCACATGTCCAGCTCTCTCAGGGACTGGCTTTTACTGAGAACGGCAGAGAGATCCCAGCAACAAGCTCCTGTGAAATAGCAGTTGGACAGCCTGCAGGGGAGACGGGCAGAGAGGACAGCGATCAGGCCTCCTGAGTCTCCCAGCTTGCCCTGGGGATTCCCATTTCCTGGCACCCTCTGCTGGCCTCCTAAGCAGCTGCTTCAGTTCTCTGCTCTGAGCAGCATCTCTGTGGGTAGAGTCCTGGAGGAGTCCAACCCGAGAGGCATTTCCTACCGTGGCAGCCCCGTCCAGCCTACAGACACAGAGGTCTGCATAAAGGAAAGCCCTCTGGTCTCAATGGGCTCAACCCTGCAACGCTTTCACATGGGAATCTGTGCTGAAGGACCCAGCCCTTACTCTCTTTATTTGAGATGCTGTAGATAAATCCTTCCGCACCAAATATTCTCTCTCCTGGTACTTCATATTGCTATTGCCCCCAGTCTCATTGGCACTGCACCTCCACCGCCCAGCGGGGGAAACTTACACACATGCCTCTGAAATGAGCAAAGACTAATCAGAAGCTTTTGAGGAAGCCCGGGACCACTCACACGAGTTTCTGTATTTTACAGTTCTCTCGTTTCAGTCCGGCGCACAGATGTTTCACTCCAGAATCCCTCAGCTCATTATTTCTCAGGTCCAGCTCCGTCAGGGTCTGGTTGGTCCCGAGAACAGAGGCAAGGTCATCGCAACAAGCAGCTGTGAGAAGGCAACACTCCAGCCTGCGGGAGAGAGACAGAAAAGTAACAACCTGTTTCTGCACCACTCACTGCACTGAGCGGGCCGGTTTCAGAGGCGATGTGCAAGGTGGTGAAAATTAGATTCCCTAGGTCAGATTCAGTGCCCAGTAAAGTGAAAGTGACTCTTTCCATTGGTTTCAGTGGGCATTGGAGCAGGCCTTCTGGGCTTAGTTCTGCTCCCCTTTACACAAGTGTCACTCCCCTTCATTTCAAGTGTACCCGTATAGCTGACAGCATAGGCTCCAACTCAGCGCCCACCAGCCACAACTGATAGGTTGTGGTGCCGATCAGCTGTTTGGAGGCTGGGGAAGGCATTTGGGGGAGGGCGGAGAGCAGTGAGCGGCAGGGGCCTTGGGGGAGAGGTTGGGGGGGGCAGGAAGAGGCAAAGTGAGGGCGGGGCCTCAGGGAGGGGGCGGGAAAAGGAAGATTGAGGGCGGGGCCTTGCGGAAGGGGTGGAGTGGGGGCAGGGCCTCAGGCTGGAGAGGGGATGGAGCATCCCCGGGGAAAAATAAAAGTCAGCGTGTATGGTTGAGAGGATGGGTGATCTTAGAGAGGGTTGAAAGGATTAAGAGTATAATATTTGGCTATAGATTTCCAAATACTGCCTGACTAGCAGGAGCCCTACATCTGAACATGAGGCTGTTTGCCCATGCCTAGATCATTGCCACAGATCATTGGTGAAAAGAGACAAGGAAATACAGTATGAAGAAAATGCTCATCTAGACCAGTGGTTACTCACTTTATTTTCTGTAGTTTACAGTTTGGATGCTTCAGTGCTTTGTACAGCAACTTCACGCCTAAATCTCCCCATTTACTATAGCCCAGGTCCAGCTCTGTCAGGCTCTGGTTTTTAGTGAGCACAGAGGCGAGGTCGCCCAAGGAAGTAGCGGTGAGACTGCGACCCCTCAGCCTGCAGGAGACAAAGGGATTCGGAACACATGATGGCTTTTCATTTGAACACAGCCACTTGTGTCCCTCTCACATCTGGGCTCCTATGAAGCCAAGCTAGGCAGCGCGACACCTGCAGCAAAGGTGTGAGTTGAAATCCAACAGGTCTGAGGGGCATCCTGGCTGTTCCAACGTTAAGGAAACCACAATAGCTCTAGGAGTGCTGGGCTGGACACTGCTACATTCTCTGAAAGGTGCCATGCGAGTAGCCTCTTGAATTAGCCTTGGTCCTATAACTGGTGCAGAAGACGAATAGGGCTATGGCCCCAGCCCCAACCCACCATGCCCATTAGAGGATTCCAGTAGCAAAAGTGACATCATGGCTCTTTTCCTTCTCTCTTCCATTGTGTTCTGGGCATGTTGGAACTGGGGCTGTGTGCCCCTTGGGCAAGGGCGTATCAATGGAAGAATCCTTGGTTGGTGCCCTTTTCCCCACTTCCACTTTGTACCCCTAGCCAGCAGCCACAGTCTGGCCCATAACATGCTAGCAATTATTAATCATTGCAATTGATTGTGACCGAGTCAAAGTCCCACCGGGGCTTTATCTCCCTACATCAGGGCTTGGTAATGTTAAACTTCCACTTTCAAAAGGCGACCAAAGTGTTTGGGACTGGCAAGAGTCCATTTGCCGCCTCCTTCCAGCTCAGAGATCACAGACTTGTGTTTAAACTTTCCTGAGAACGTCTCCTCTGGCCTGAGAGTGCCGCATGGCCATTTTCAGACCACAAGGAGGTTTTCATGAACCTTACTTGGGAATGGAAACCTGGCCTTCTGCTGGAAGGCTGCATGCAACCTTCACCATAGTGTAACTAGCCGCAGCTCCATAATCCTGGGGCTGAAATCTTCTGAACCGGGTTTCAGGGCTGAGCAGAGGGCTAACGCTGATTCTGAACTGAAGTGAAGAGTTCCTTGTGGATTTAGGTTTCAGTTAGAATGCCATGAATATAACACAGTTATAAAGAAAATCCATGGTTACTTACCCCAGTTTCTGAACATTGCAGTTTTGATGTTTCAGTCCCTTACAGAGCAATTTAATCCCTGTTTCCCCCAGTTTGTTACCGCTCAGGTCCAGCTCTTTCAGAGACTGGTTTGTCTTGAGAGCAGAGGCGAGATCCTCACAACAAGCAGAGGTGAGGCGGCAGCACCCTAAACTGCAAGAGACAGACGTGGTTACTGCTTGTTTTCACCCAGGTGGCCGCCTCCACTTTATTCATGTCTGTGTATTCCTGTAAAGAGATGTAGAGCTTGATCCAACGCCTAAAAACTCCTACCATCTTCCCTGGCTTTGGGTCAGGACCTTAGCCAGCTGTATTGTTCTTAAACAAAAGTGATCGCTAGCCATCCTATGGCATGTGTCAAACACCCTGCTGATGTGACATTGACATGGCAGAAGTGTTCCTAGGCAATTTACAGACAGGGGTGAGGGCATGTTCAAGTTTACCAGTACTGAACAAGAGAACAATCTCAAGGCCCGCTCCTGGAAACACCTAGGTACATGCTTAATTTTAAGTACATGAGTACTCCCATTAAATTCACATTTAAAACAATAATAGGAAAATTGAAGAACTTCATGTGACGTGGAAGGAATTTCTCTCTTCTACAAAAGGAAGAGACAGTGTGCAAATGGAAGGCTCATGGGAAGGTGGAATGATTTAGCAGGCTAGAATTTTATGTTTGTAACATGTTTCCTTGCTTTCCCGTGATAATTTGGGGTGTTCTGCAAGCACATTTTTCTATAATTGATTTAAAATAATTAAAGCCATTTTAAAAACAAACAATCACTATGCCAATGTAATAGTGAGACTGAGATTGTAACAGAAGTCAGGACATTCAGAGTTATGGTTAACTTGTCCCCTGGTGCATGCTTTCTGCTCTCCCCCTTGGCATGCATTCACTATAACGGGGTCTTTCATTATAGGGAAGATGCTTCATAATATTCTGTGTTTAATTAGCAATCCCCAGAGCTGAACTGTAACTGGCTTGTGTTTAATAAAGACTCAGCTGTGAAAAGCTAAGCAGGATCTGGGTAAGTAAACAGGTGAAAGGGAAGACTCTTTAGGGTAGATTTTTCAAAAGAATCTATGTGACATTAGAGAGACAAGTTAGATGAGGTAATTTCTTTTATTGGACCAACTTCTGTGGGTGAAGGAGCCAAACTTTCAGAGCTCTTCTTCAGGGCTGGGAGATGTACTAAGAGTGTCACAGCTAAATACAAGATCAAACAGATAGTTTAGCATAAGTAGTTAGCATATATTCTAATCTGAGGGATCATTCAAGGGGAAGTGGCCCCTGCAGTCAAAGGACAAACAGGGGGGTTAGTGGGTTGCAGATTGTAATAAGCCATAACTCCAGTGTCTTTATTAAGACCATGATTTTTAGTGTCTAGCAAAGTTATGAATTCAAACTCCCAGGCTCATCTTTTGAAGGCCTTGGGCAGGTTTCCTTTGCAGGTGAGGACTGATAGGGGTCAGATGTGGAGTGATCACTTTGTGAAAAGTGTCACCCACAGGTGAAAGAGTGTTTTTGTCTTTGATCATTTTCCTGTGGGAAAAATGTGGGAATGTGGGAATTTTCCTATGGGAGTTCATTTGAGAGTGTAGTGATTGTCTTGGGGCCATTGACACTCACTGAAATCCCTTAGGTACTCTACATTTGAAAATTCTTCCTCATGTCAAATGTTTGAGGTGTTTAAAAACCAATCACTGTTGGGTCTTCTTGGTTTGTTAGTAGCATTCTTGGTCAAAATTCTCCTCTGAGTTTCTTGCATAGGCTTGCGTTGACTTCAGTGGGAGTTGCTTCCACGTTGACCCATGAATTTTTTCCTCTGGAAGCAAAGCTTCCCATTCAGCTGTGGAGCCCCATGCTAAGTGGGCATTTTCAGGAGCACATCCAGTGTGTCATAGACCTGGACATCTATAAAAACCATTATTCCCGTCATCCAGCTCTTTTTCCGTAGAACATAAATAAACTGCTCTTATTGAATATGGGTGAGGGGAAGTGAAAGAAGAAATCAGGTCTGTTGCACCGGTAAAACATATAGGATATACTTAATAACAGAAATACATTTCAAAATAATGTTCTTATCCAGATACAGTGCACAAAATGGCAATAATAAATAATAATGATGGATAAATATGTCTAGCTCAAGTAACCTCCGAATGCCTGGGTCTTTATCAGTAACACATCATGAAGTGAGCTGGTTCCATGTGAATTAGCAGTCACTCTGCTGCTCAGACACTAAACCGCAGTGATACATAGCTGCACATTGTTGCTAAACCCCTGAGAGAACAGCAGCAATGATAGGCTCCTTGAAGAGCAAGCACTTACGATATTTTCTTTAGCTTACAGCCTGGATCCTTCAGTGCTTGACACAAAAGGTGAGGTGGGGAATATTTTGGCTCCTTCTCCTCCAACTCCCTGGAAAGAGAGAACAGAAACGTTCCATTTTGGGTGCTGGAAAAAAAAATCCCTCTCATTTCAAGAGGTTGGCTCAGTAGTTTTTATTCTGGAGCAGACAATTCAATAATTTTTGTAAAAAAATAACCCTTTTAAACATTATCGGATGCGACTACCCCTTTATTCTGATGCCAGATTAGTAAATGGGGGATTTCTGGCATCAGAAATGTGTATTTTGAAAAGTGTAAGTGAGGCGGGCTTACTTGACAGGCTAGGGAATTGAAGGTGTCTGTTTTTGGCCAGGACAAAGATCCTGAACAAAAGCCCGTTAATGTTTATGGAAAAACTCTCATGTTGACTTGAATAGCACTGGGTCAAGATTGTGGCAATGTAAGCAGTGGCAATGTCTCATCAGTACAATGTATTGAGTAAGGACCTCTGGATTTAGGCCTATGAAAATATGGCATTATACTGGAATGGTTGACAGGTCCACCTGCACTCTGACAAGAGCAGGTGCTATTGTAACTACACACACTGGACATTCATCTCAATAAACTGACACACTCACCAAGGAACAAACTTTTGTAGCACTGAGTCTTTTCTTTCCTCCTGCTCTTCCAGTCCAAACGTACAACCGTTCAGAGAGAGCGACTGCTCGTTACGACAATTCTTTATGCAAAATGAAAGAACCATGTGGTCGATTTTTGTAAAGTGAATATTGCTCAGACCAATTTCTTGGAAACAATCCATTGCACTTTTGACAAACTCTTCTTCCTGAATCTCGCATAAACAGTGAAGCAACTCAAGCTGGAATTGCTTTTCCTCGAGGGATCTGAAGGTCAGACCGCAGCTTCTTTTTGCTACAGATCCAAACCACTTCAATAAATTCTGTTTAATTTCAGGTGAAATTTTACAGCCAAAGATTTTCTCTGTGTGATTCATTCTCACTTTGTTTAAGAGACCAAACAGGAAACGTACCATTAAGGTAAAAGAATTGTCTCTAGATTTTCCATAATTTTTCAAAATTTCATTCACATCTTTTTTCAGAGTCACTGAATCACACCCTTTTTCTTTATCTTCCACCAGGACATAGAACAAAGCTGCAAAGAACTCTTGGAAACTTAAGTGAATGAAGCTGTAGACACTTTCAAAGCCGATATCTTTTTGGAAAATATTCTTAGTAAGAAAGAGTGACTGAATGTCAGATCCATGCAAACCATGCTTCCTCGCATCATCTTCTTCAAAGAGTATTTTATTGTTCAAGATCCCATCTGCTGCTAGAGAGCATAGCTTCTTCAAGTCAGTGTGTACGGATTCCTTTGAATTGGAATGGTTCTCTAATAAACTGGACAGAAAGAGCATGTATACCGAGGTGGTTGTTTTTGAGCTTTTGGCTAGATCTTCTCCGCTCTCCATCTGTTGTTTCATCACTGTGCACAGGATCCAGCACACGATGGGAGCAAAGCACATGGTGAAGAGCATTTCATTCTCTTTTATAAAATCTAGAGCTTGTTTTGCTTGTATGGCATTTGCAAAGAACTTGCGGAAATACTCCTTCCTGTCATCTTCAGAGAATCCCAGGATTGTTGCAATACGGGGAAACTTCAGACACTGCCGGAGTTTATCCAGAGCGGTTGGTCTCGTAGTGATTATTAAGTAGGATTTTGGAAGAATCGTTTTACTTAATAAACTGCTCAGTATGATTTCAACTGGCTTTGTCTGAAAGGGATCAGTGCACAGATTACTTTCTTGCTGATCAAAGGAAAATTTAAGTACATCAAAACCATCAATTATGAACAAAAGCTTCTCTGGATTCATCAAAATATCTTTGATGGGTGCATTTCTGTCAGGACAATTGTTTAAAATCAGATCTGCGACACTTCGACGCTCAGAAATACAGTTCATTTCCCTGCTATTGATGTAGAAGATGTAATCAAACTTGCCAGGATAGAGTTTTCCAAATGCCCAGTCTACCATGAGCTTCTTGGCTAACATTGTTTTTCCAATCCCAGCAGCTCCCTGCAGCACAATGGTTCTCAGTGGTGTTTGCCTGTTTCCACTAGCATCAAATAAAGTCTCCAGTTTAGTAGAACTAGCTCGCTTTGCCATGATTTCTGCATGCTCTTTCCCTTTGGCTCTTATTTCATGCTTTCTCTCCTTCTGGTCACGATGTTCCTTTACAATCAGCAGCTTTGTGTATCTTGTGTTTAGTTCCACACACTCTCCAACTTGATTGTTCCTCTCTTCTATTAATTGGTATTTTTCTCGTATATGTTCCTTATACTTTGGTCTGTAATCTAATTCAATGATATGGACCATCAGAATCCGTGAATGCAGAAATTCAGGAAAAAAAAAGACAGATTATTAATGAGTTTCATGGTAGTGCTATTTAGATGCATATGAATCCCAGATTCTAATTAATAAGGGGAATAACAGATCATATTGCTGGGGGGTGGGGGGAAATTTCAGATGATGGGAAAATAGATATTTTGAAATTAAAATTTAAAAATTAAATTCAGCTGAACATTGACTATACTAGTGAAATGTTTCCAGAGATAGAGGTTCTTCTATATGGAGAGATGCGGGGAGTAGAAGGGAAAATATCTACATGCAATTTAATAGATGATGTTTAAAAGTAGAATGACTCCTTCTATTTCAATGGGTTTTGGATCATCCCCCAACTCAGTTACTCATGAATTTGAGAATTTGGAAAACACACTGGGCCACATTCTGGTCTCTGTAACACCAGACTAAATCAGAGCAATGACTTAATTACAATTAGTCTAGATTTACACTGGTGTACCTGAGATCAGATTCTGTCCCCAAATGACGATTATTTTGTCTAGTGATACACTGAACACTTGATAGATGCACTGTAATGTCTGCAACGCTGCTAATAACTGGGTACAATTTTCAACATGTATGACCCATACGTTACCTTGTGTCATTTTCAAACTCAGAGTTGCAACAGATAGAGATCGAGTAGATTGAGGCTGAACCAAAACTGAAAGAGAAATAACATATGGGGTTAATATGAGTCTCAAAGAAATGAGATGGGCATGAGCCACATATCAATGGATCTCCACTTCTTTTGTAGGAACGATACTTATAGAGCAAAGACTCAATCCTCTTGTTCTCATTAAATATCAAGGGTGCTCACAGGAATAGGGGAAGTACATTCTAAAGAAACTTCATTACACTTTGGCCAGTTGCAGTGTACGCCAGGAAGTGATGAATCCTGTGATGGGACATCTTCCCCACACTGGCCCTGATGGGGTTAAAACCCAGCCTACAGGGCTGCAAAGAAACAGCCAATTAGGGCAGTGGCTGCAGCCAATTAGGGCGGTGGCTGGACCAGCCAAAAAGGAAACTGCAGTCCAGAACAAGGAGTCTGCTGTAGGAAGCCCAAAGGAGGGGACTGGTTTCCTAGAGGGCTGCAGAGACTAGCACTGTGAACAGGGCTGCTAGGGCTTGCAGGCCCAAGGCCCTGAGAAGAGGGTGAAGGAGCCAGAGGCAGGAGCTGAAGGTGCTGGGGCTGTGAGGAAGTGGCCCAGGGAATTGAGACAGACTAGTATAGAAAGAAAGGAGGGGCAGCGGGAAGCTGTTGTTTAGAGGGTCCCTGGGCTGGGACCCAGAGTAGTGGGTGTGGCTGGGTCTCCCCTTCCCACTCGCTGCTGAAGAAGCAGCCCAGCTAGGGACTGCCAAGCCGCTGCGAGGAGCAGCTAGACTGTTGCAGAAGGAGTCCCCACGGAAGGGGGGAACCCGGACTGTGACATGGCTGGAGGGCTGTGCCACGAAGCAGAGGCAGTGAGACTGGACCTGCAGTGGGTCTGCAGGCGGAGACGAGGACGGGAGAGCCACCACCACCGGAGGCCACGCCTGCTGACCAGCGCTAATTCCTGAAACGGCCAGCGGGAGGCGCCAGTGTGGTGAGAGACCCTGTGACAAATCCTTAAAATATGAGTCCAAAGCAACAGAATAATACTTCAGGTGGTGTGGAAGGGGAAAGTGCATCGTTTTCAAACTAGTGTAACTCATAAAAATGGCAAAATCAATTTTATGCAAATTGTCCTTATTTTCTCAATGGGCTGAGATCATCTTGGACACCTTAGAATCATAGAATATCAGGGTTGGAAGGGACCTCAGGAAGTCATCTAGTCCAACCCCCTGCTCAAAGCAGGACCAATCCCCATTTTTTGCCCTATATCCCTAAATGGCCCCCTCAAGGATTGAACTCACAACCCTGAGTTTAGCAGGCCAAAGCTCAAACCACTGAGCAATCCCTCCCCCCTTGGCTGAGAAGGTTACAAAGCGTGTGGGTGGGCGAGGCAGAGGGCCTAGAAAAGGGGGGATAAGAATGGAAGGGGGAAAACATCGGTAACCGTAGCACTCAGCAGCTTTGGTCTATATAGTGAGGTCCAGCAACTCTGAGCCACCGAGCCACCCGCAGGCAGTGGTGTCAGGCTGCTGGAAATCGGAGCCGTCCCTGGGGCTGTTAAAATTCACGCCAAGGGCCTGGATTCTAGAGAGGCCCCAAATCCAGGTGGTGCACGTGTGGCTTAAAGCTACCCTTGTTCTCCACTCCTGAGCTATGTGTTCCATGCTGTGTTTCCTGAGAGCACAGAATCTACCCTGTGGACTCAGTGGGAGCAGGATCAAACTCTGTGTCATGTGCAGATCTGTTTAGTGCCTGTGTGATGGGCTGTGCTTTCTCCCACATAAAAATAAAATGTGGGATGTGACCATGCAACCTGGAAGCGCAATAGGAGCAGAATCAGGCTCTTACAATAGCATTCTGCTTCTCGCAGGTCTCTCTCTTTCTCAGTTACCCATATGGTGTCTGTCTATATTTTACATAACTACTTATATAGAAATGTATGATACACTAACTACAGCTGATTCATGGCCTAAGAAATGCAGTGCTCATCTAGAGAACATGCAATAAGAGCTACTAATAAAAAAGAGGCACAATTGTTTCACAGTCATTCTAGAAAAATATTATGGACCAAATTTTCAAAGAGCAGCATCCCTTTTACTGGTGCAAATTGACGTATAGGTGCAAATCTGGGGACTCCCAGTGGGTACAAAGGAAGTTGTTAGAGGTGCAAATGCTCTGATTTAGACCTGCAGTTATGGGGCCGCCCTTTTTGCAGGTGCAAAAAAGGAGGCTGGAGTTTTGCAAGTTCACCCCATATGTGTCTCTGCCTTGACTGGTGACTCCCACCGGTTTCCTCAGGGTTTTGGAATCCATTAGGTGGCTTTAGCTTGCTGCTGCTGCTCCTGGTGCTGCAGTGGGGAATATTAATGAAGAAGGACTCACAGGGGCAGCAGCCGCGTTAGATTTTTTTGTACCTGTCTCTTTTTCCTCTTGGAGTTTCACGGCAGAGTTTTTCAGACCTATCTTGGTGAAGATTTCGATCGCTACGTTCGCTGCACTGTCTTCGCCATAGAACTCTATCAGGAGACTGGCCACGTCCATTTCGTCAGCATTCTCCAGCTTGCCCCGGGGGATTTTACGTTTCGCTCCCTCATAGCGAAAATCAGATAATTTGTGCCTAAATTTTTTAAAATCTTTCTTTTCGAGATCCTCCAGTTCCTGCACGAGGATGTCAGTCAGGGTCTTGTCTCCACTCATCGTGTGCTATTAGGAATGGTCTGAAACTGAATCAAGAACATTAGAAGATTAAAGCTGAACTCCCTCAGACTTTTAAAACCAAGAGACATCAGAAAGTTGCAGTCACTGCACAAAACAAACACCTTCCCATGGAACCAAAGGAAGTGGCTTAGCAGACATTATCATCTGCACTGTGGGTTACTAGAGATTTCTTGTAACACTTATTTTCCTACCTTACTCTTTACAGTATAAGTATTGTCATGGCAGATCAGATCAGTGATCCATATAGTCTGGGATCCTGCCTCCAGCACGGGCAGCCCCTGAGGCTTCAGAAAAACATCTAAACCCCTTGTAATGGACAATTATTGAATGACCTCTCCATAGGACTTTCTTCCTATCCTCCATCAGTTAGAGCTTGACGATTGTCAAAGCAGGAAAGTTTAACCCCCTACTGGATGGAATCAGAACTGCTCTTCTGAGTGTCAGATTAACTGAAGCTGGTTGGAGAATGTGAAAGTGTTTCCCCCCAAAACAGAGAGAGATGAGGTAGAGGAGACAATGTCTTTTATTGGACCACCTTCTGTTGGCGGCAGGGACAAGCTTTCAGACTCCACAGAGCTCTTTGTCTGGAGAAAGTGACCAGAAGGTCTGAGCTAAATACAAGATGGGACCGATTGTTAAGCATAAGGGTTTCACACATGTTGCAGGAGACACTTAAAATGAAGTGGGCAATCAAGGTTAGCAGACAATAGGGCGTGTGACCCTATTGTTTTTAATGACCAGCAGAGTGATGAATTTAAGTTCCCATGCTCATCTTTTGAAGGGCTTGTGCAGAGAGTTTGCAAAACTTGTTGAAGCTGTTCTGAGTTAGGAGGGCTCAAAATGGACCTGTTGGGATTTTTTTCAAACCTCTTTGTATAACGTTTTTATGAATTTTTTTGAAAGCTTTATTGAAAACAGGTTTTTTGGTAACTGAAAAATTTCTATAACCATTGTGGTAAAGTTGTTATAAAATATGATTAAAATTAGATTAAAATATCATGAAATTTTGGGCAACAGACAAAAATTTCTTGACAAACAATTGTTCCTAAATGCAGCTATTTCTAGAGTAAACAAGGGTAGTCCTTGTTTCAACATCATTCTAAGTAACACGCAGACTTGGTACAAGAAGTAGCTACGTTTGTGTCACTGACAAATACATTTAAATATATTGTTGTCTCTAACATCCCTATAGGATGGTCTATAGCAAAAATCAGATCTGTCACACTTTAGAAAGGAGGATTTTATAAAAATAAAGGTTTCAGAGTAACAGCCGTGTTAGTCTGTATTCGCAAAAAGAAAAGGAGTACTTGTGGCACCTTAGAGACTAACCAATTTATTTGAGCATGAGCTTTCGTGAGCTACAGCTCACTTCATCGAATGCATACCGTGGAAACTGCAGAAGACATTATATACACACAGAGACCATGAAACAATACCTCCTCCCACCCCACTGTCCTGCTGGTAATAGCTTATCTAAAGTGATCATCAAGTTGGGCCATTTCCAGCACAAATCCAGGTTTTCTCACCCTCCAACCCCCCCCCCCCCCCAAACTCACTCTCCTGCTGGTAATAGCCCATCCAAAGTGACCACTCTCTTCACAATGTGTATGATCATAGAATCATAGAATATCAGGGTTGGAAGGGACCCCAGAAGGTCATCTAGTCCAACCCCCTGCTTGAAGCCGGACCAATTCCCAGTTAAATCATCCCAGCCAGGGCTTTGTCAAGCCTGACCTTAAAAACCTCTAAGGAAGGAGATTCTACCACCTCCCTAGGTAACGCATTCCAGTGTTTCACCACCCTCTTAGTGAAAAAGTTTTTCCTAATATCCAATCTAAACCTCCCCCACTGCAACTTGAGACCATTACTCCTCGTTCTGTCATCTGCTACCATTGAGAACAGTCTAGAGCCATCCTCTTTGGAACCCCCTTTCAGGTAGTTGAAAGCAGCTATCAAATCCCCCCTCATTTTTCTCTTCTGCAGGCTAAACAATCCCAGCTCCCTCAGCCTCTCCTCATAAGTCATGTGTTCCAGACCCCTAATCATTTTTGTTGCCCTTCGCTGGACTCTCTCCAATTTATCCACATCCTTCTTGTAGTGTGGGGCCCAAAACTGGACACAGTACTCCAGATGAGGCCTCACCAATGTCGAATAGAGGGGAACGATCACGTCCCTCGATCTGCTCGCTATGCCCCTACTTATACATCCCAAAATGCCATTGGCCTTCTTGGCAACAAGGGCACACTGCTGACTCATATCCAGCTTCTCGTCCACTGTCACCCCTAGGTCCTTTTCCACAGAACTGCTGCCTAGCCATTCGGTCCCTAGTCTGTAGCTGTGCATTGGGTTCTTCCGTCCTAAGTGCAGGACCCTGCACTTATCCTTATTGAACCTCATCAGATTTCTTTTGGCCCAATCCTCCAATTTGTCTAGGTCCTTCTGTATCCTATCCCTCCCCTCCAGCGTATCTACCACTCCTCCCAGTTTAGTATCATCCGCAAATTTGCTGAGAGTGCAATCCACACCATCCTCCAGATCATTTATGAAGATATTGAACAAAATGATAATCAAGGTGGGCCATTTCCTGCACAAATCCAGGTTCTCTCACCCCCCTCCAAAAACCACACACACAAACTCACTCTCCTGCTGGTAATAGCTTATCCAAAGTTACCACTCTCCCTACAATGTGCATGATAATCAAGGTGGGCCATTTCCAGCACAAATCCAGGTTTTCTCACTGCCCCACACCCCCCCACACAAACTCACTCTCCTGCTGGTAATAGCTCATCCAAAGTGACCACTCTCCCTACAATGTGCATGGTAATCAAGGTGGGCCATTTCCATCACAAATCCAGGCTTTCTCACCCCCTCCCCCCCGGAAACACACACACACACACAAACTCACTCTCCTGCTGGCAATAGCTCATCCAAACTGACCACTCTCCAAGTTTAAATCCAAGTTTAACCAGAACGTCTGGGGGGGGGGGTAGGAAAAAACAAGGGGAAATAGGCTACCTTGCATAATGACTTAGCCACTCCCAGTCTCTATTTAAGCCTAAATTAATAGTATCCAATTAGCAAATGAATTCCAATTCAGCAGTTTCTCGCTGGAGTCTGGATTTGAAGTTTTTTTGTTGTAAGATAGCGACCTTCATGTCTGTGATTGCGTGACCAGAGAGATTGAAGTGTTCTCCGACTGGTTTATGAATGTTATAATTCTTGACATCTGATTTGTGTCCATTTATTCTTTTACGTAGAGACTGTCCAGTTTGACCAATGTAAATGGCAGAGGGGCATTGCTGGCACATGATGGCATATATCACATTGGTGGATGTGCAGGTGAACGAGCCTCTGATAGTGTGGCTGATGTTATTAGGCCCTGTGATGGTGTCCCCTGAATAGATATGTGGACACAGCTGGCAACGGGCTTTGTTGCAAGGATAAGTTCCTGGGTTAGTGGTTCTGTTGTGTGGTATGTGGTTGTTGGTGAGTATTTGCTTCAGCTTGCGGGGCTGTCTGTAGGCAAGGACTGGCCTGTCTCCCAAGATTTGTGAGAGTGTTGGGTCATCCTTCAGGATAGGTTGTAGATCCTTAATAATGCGTTGGAGGGGTTTTAGTTGGGGGCTGAAGGTGACAGCTAGTGGCGTTCTGTTATTTTCTTTGTTAGGCCTGTCCTGTAGTAGGTGACTTCTGGGAACTCTTCTGGCTCTATCAATCTGTTTCTTCACTTCCGCAGGTGGGTATTGTAGTTGTAAGAAAGTTTGACAGAGATCTGGTAGGTGTTTGTCTCTGTCTGAGGGGTTGGAGCAAATGCGGTTGTATCGCAGAGCTTGGCTGTAGACGATGGATCGTGTGGTGTGGTCAGGGTGAAAGCTGGAGGCATGTAGGTAGGAATAGCGGTCAGTAGGTTTCCGGTATAGGGTGGTGTTTATGTGACCATCGCTTATTAGCACTGTAGTGTCCAGGAAGTGGATCTCTTGTGTGGACTGGATCAGGCTGAGGTTTATGGTGGGATGGAAATTGTTGAAATCATGGTGGAATTCCTCAAGGGCTTCTTTTCCATGGCTCCAGATGATGAAGATGTCATCAATATAGCGCAAGTAGAGTAGGGGCTTTAGGGGACGAGAGCTGAGGAAGCGTTGTTCTAAATCAGCCATAAAAATGTTGGCATACTGTGGGGCCATGCGGGTACCCATAGCAGTGCCGCTGATCTGAAGGTACACATTGTCCCCAAATGTAAAATAGTTATGGGTAAGGACAAAGTCACAAAGTTCAGCCACCAGGTTAGCCGTGACATTATCGGGATAGTGTTCTTGACGGCTTGTAGTCCATCTTTGTGTGGAATGTTGGTGTAGAGGGCTTCTACATCCATAGTGGCCAGGATGGTGTTATCAGGAAGATCACTGATGGATTGAAGTTTCCTCAGGAAGTCAGTGGTGTCTCGAAGGTAGCTGGGAGTGCTGGTAGCATAGGGCCTGAGGAGGGAGTCTACATAGCCAGACAATCCTGCTGTCAAGGTGCCAATGCCTGAGATGATGGGGCGCCCAGGATTTCCAGGTTTATGGATCTTGAGTAGTAGATAGAATATCCCAGGTCGGGGTTCCAGGGGTGTGTCTGTGCGGATTTGATCTTGTGCTTTTTCAGGAAGTTTCTTGAGCAAATGCTGTAGTTGCTTTTGGTAACTCTCAGTGGGATCATAGGGTAATGGCTTGTAGAAAGTGGTGTTGGAGAGCTGCCGAGCAGCCTCTTGTTCATATTCTGACCTATTCATGATGACAACAGCACCTCCTTTGTCAGCCTTTTTGATTATGATGTCAGAGTTGTTTCTGAGGCTGTGGATGGCATTGCGTTCCGCATGGCTGAGGTTATGGGGCAAGTGATGCTGCTTTTCCACAATTTCAGCCCGTGCACGTCGGCGGAAGCACTCTATGTAGAAGTCCAGTCTGCTGTTTCGACCTTCAGGAGGAGTCCACCTAGGA